CGGTCGGTGTTGTTATCACGGGTGATAAGAAGGTATTCTTATCGGTCGCCTTTCCGTGCGACGGGCGAGCCATGCGTGGTTTGCACCCAGTCGCACCTCACTCTTCTCCCCGGCCGTCCTCTTGTGTTCGTCGTGTCGCCCTGGCGGTCCCCCGAGCACGCGGAGGTTGCGCGGAGGGTGCTCGGAGGTGCGCCGGCGCGCCGCCGCAGCTTAGGGAGCAGCCTGGTCCCGGGGCATAGGTCGCCACGCTGCGGCTCACAGTAGCCCTGGCTATGAAACTTAGCAGAACCCCCGGTGCTTTCCGAGCGGGGTTTAGGGTGATTCACACCCCCTCCGTTTGTGGCTGAAGGAAGCAGGAGGGCTTTAGGACAACCCGTGGGAACCGGTGGAGTCAGGGCACTCCCGCGGTCCGGTCCAGGACTCCTCCAGAAAAATTAGGAAGGGGGAGAGGAGGAAACTCGGGTTAATTCAAATGTTCTGAATCTCAAAAAATTCTCAGGGTTGAAACCAAAATTTTGACTCCTAAGGGTGGTATCTTTGGTCACTGATTTCTGGATTGTCTGGGTCTTTCGGAACCAACTCTATGCTGTGTTTGTGTTACTCTGTAGAGCACTCTTCTGTGCCCTTTGCTTTCCAAAAGAGGGCTTTTGTGTCCTATTTTTAGGACAGGGCTTGAACATTGGTTCAGGTTCTGAGCTTTATTTCTGCTAGAAGGGATTGGTAACCTGTCCGTAAATGCAAATGGACAGCTTGCATTACGGCCAACAAATACCAAGTGTACAGCGCAAATTAAATAAATTAACACCAGGTCATGAAAAGCAGCAGGTCCTCAGTATGTGCTCCAGCTGTGTTGTAGCTGCTGCCACAGCTGTTACTTTTTTTTCTTTTATAATGCCCACAGATTTTACTGCAAATTCCAGGTTATTTGTGGTATCTCGGAACAAAAAACCTGTTGTCTGAAAGTGGAGTGATTCTTCTCTCCTATCCTGGTACCCACATGGTTCTTCCAGGGCTTTGTGCTGGAGACAAGTACTGATTTTGTAGCCAGTGAAGGAGGGCACGTCTTGGTCCCACACCTCTGGAGGTTGCAGGGGTTGTAGCAAGCTTCCACCCTCATGGATCATGGTTTGTTGTGCATTGTAAAAGCTGATTACTGAGTATATTTTGACTGCCCCCTGTGCTAGTTGTCTTGGTCTGAATCATAGAAGGTTGCACGAAAATAAAATTACCCTACAGAGCCTGGAAAATTGTGCTCTGGAAAAATTAGTCAATGTGATTTTACGGAGTACTGCACAGGGAGTCAGTGTTAGGTGTCATATAGAAACATAGTTGATGTACAAACAGGTGGGATATGGAGGCTACAAATACGTCCCCATGAAGTAAACCAAGGTTTGCTGTTTAGAAAATGTGGACTTAACACTTGCCTTGATAGTGCATTGTGTAGAGTAACAGGAGCTTCTTTTTTAGACATGTCTTCAAAGTCAACCATCTTCTTGTTTTTTCATTTGTAAACCCTAACTACCTTGAAGTTGTTGGATTGGATAAAAGAAGGCCCAATAATTAACAGACCAGGGGCTTGAACCACTGGGTCCCGCATCTCAGCTGAGTTCCTAAATCTCACTTTTTCCTCCATAAAAGGAAACTATTATTAGATTATGGATGTCAACTTGATTGCCACACACATTATATCAAACATTGTCTCATTAATAGCACTGCTAATGAGCATATATTAATACTTTATGTCTCCAGAGGAGGAACAGACACACTGCCATTGTTGATAATTGACATTATTTGAATATGTAAACACTTCGATAGACAAGATATAAATATCACTTGCATTAATTTTATGAACTGAAACATTGTAAATTTAGCTTAGGCTGAGAAAAATGGGGTCACTGAAAGGTAAACCATGCGGTATCTCTTTTGCTCTTCAAATGTTTGTGGAGTTCCTTATCATCTCTATGTATAAGGTCGATGTTGTCCACAGTGTTGAACATCCATAGTTCCTGTTCACTGAAGGCAGAAACACTAAGTGTTCTCCATCATTATTCTGAGAATGAAGTCATAAATGTTTGTGTTTTTCTGAAATATGTCTCACACATAGGATTTGGTTATCATGAGAGTCCATATCATGTAGCCATATCCTTCTGTGGCTGAGTAAATTCTTCACAGTTCTGGTGTCAGGCAGAGACATGTATGCCATTTATGGCAGAGAGGAATGGCTAATTTAGCCATATCAGTTTTGTTGTATATCCCAAGAGCACTCTCCCAATATATGCTCACACTGGGTGATAACACATCAGTTCAGTCATTTGCTCCCTGAGGCTGCAGATATAGCAGTATGTAGGGAATTAGCTTCTGCAACAGGCACTGAAGTGTGTGGAGAAGAAACTGGTATAATAAGAGGAAGAAAATACCTGAGTTGTGAGGAGTAGTTTTGGAAGACTCTGAGATGGTTATTACAGAATAATGGTTTATTATTGTATGCTGTTACATTATAGAATCATAGCTAAACTTTCAATAAAAATCCAAAACCTAAATAGTCCAGGAGATAATATAAAGAGGAGAGAAAAGAAATAACAATAGTAGTTGACTACATAGGGGTAGCATATTGTCTCTTTAAGTGGTGGGTTCATTCAGTTTTCCGCATCTCAGAAAGAAGATACCTGTAAGTGTCACAAAGGTAGCACAGGTAAAAATCACTAATGAGATTTCATTGGAGGAAAGAAGTCTAAAAGATAAGGACACCTTTGGAAAGGGTCCTTCCATAATTGTAAAAGAGAGTGCAAGAAACATTTCAGAAAGGAGAAGAGTAGATGGTGAAAAGGAAAGCAGACCACTTCTATTTAATACAAGAATAAACATGCTCTGGAAGTCAAACACATTAAAAAAGGCAACTAGAACTGCTGTGATATGGTTATGTTGGCAGGTGTGATGATTGCTTTCTGTTCGGTTAGACCATGAAAAGCAGCCAAGCTTCTCAGAAGAATTAGCTACTTGAGACAAAAGATGCACCACCCAGTCACAGGCTAAAAGCAAAATATGAGACAACATTGACCTTGCAAACCAAGAAGTTTCACTGGCAAGCAGAGAGGCTGTGTAATGTTTTTTTGACAGTGTAGTTGTTTAGGTATGAGAAAGAAGCATAACAAGGGTAACAGAATCAAACACAAAGAATAGGGAGCCAGAGACAGAGTCAGAACAAAAAATGGAGAAGGCAGAGGAAAACAAAGCACCACCTTAGGACCCTCAATTACTGCTCACTGCTTGGGTCAAGAAGGGATAATCATGTTCTGTGTAATGGATAATTAATCTACGGAACTCACAGCAAAGAATCTTAGTGAGGTAAATAATTTTGTAAATTTCAAACAGTTTTAGACTATTAGTGAAGATAGACATCTGTTGTTATATTTTCTGCCCTGGTAATTACAAGGGCTATTAATTTGCTCATCTCAGGGGAATGCTCAAGTGAAAAGATTAGGAAGCTGTTTACATTTATGGTACCTTTACATAGTTAGATGACTGTATGAACTTCCTTCTGAAGCATGTAACTTTTTTGCCAAAATGCTGAATTAGATGTGCAACTGTTTTGTTTTTATTTTACACCTCCTTGATTTCCAGTAGATTTGGGAAAATGATTAAGAGGTTTGTCAACTAGTAGGAAGAGTTCAGGTGGAAAATATATAGGAGCTGGATGTGTGGGATTGCACCTAGCAAAATCTGTCTCTAATCCAAGTAAATTATTTTCTAGAAGTGTCCAAAAATCATACATGCACCTTGGTTATACCTGTATTTTGACTCAGATTATCTGATTAATAAAGGATTCTAATTAATTTTGGCAGTTAAGCATCCCTCCTTATTTTCAAAGGAACCAAGCACATCAAAGCCTCAGTTGGGAGCATTTCTGAAGGTTAAGCCAATTGCAGGGAGTGTAGTGAGAGGAGCGTTGGCATCTTGCTGTGGGGCACATGTTTAAAATTCATTGTGTGTCCCCTGAAAATGGTGGGCATGTTCTGCTGTCTTTACCTTTTTTTTAGGCCTGCTGCTCCTGCAGAACTTCACAATCTCATTTATCAGGGAACTGATGCTTTATAACAGAGATGGGAAACTAGTTGCTTTCCTGCCAGGAGGGCATATGTAGCCATCAAGAGTGGGTAGAGAGTTCTAGAGAGTGATATTCTCTCTTGCTCTTTCACTTGTCAGACAATGAATTTTTTTAAGTTGACCATGCCAAGATCATCAGCTTCTACAGGACTATTTGTTATTCATCTAAATATTCTACTTACAATCAACTTATAAACATAAAAATTTAACCTACCAAATTTCTAGCCCTACTACTGATTGACAGTTTTCTATAGAAGTACAGAGGGAATAAGAAAGCACTGGATCATCCTGCACATGGCCCTTTGTTAATAAAGTCTCACTTTTCCCTGAAGAGCAATGTCTTGGGTCCTCCTGCTGTACCTGCCATGAGTCTTCCGCTGGCTGACAGCTGCTTCTGTAATAGCTCTCAACCTGCTGATGGCAGCTGGTGGTTTACATTTAGCCTTGGTTCCTTTAAATACACATGTGTGCAGGCACACATTGCACACAGACACACAGGGTATAAGCTGCATGTATATTTACACTGTACAGATACATTTACCAGGGAGAAAGAACAGATTTACCCAGTAGCGTGCTTGTAAGTTCTTCTCACTGCGCCAGAGCAAGCATGAAGGGGACCAGAAATGGCTTGAATAAATGTGAAGACTAGGACTGTCATACAAGAAAGGAAAATTATTCTTCATGAGAAAGTAACTGTTGAGTGAAACAATTGAGCATTCCATTACAGAGAAATGTGATAAAATTAAATAATAAACATTTGAGCAGTTAGCAGACTGATCAAATTATTTATGGTACAGTTCATCACCTGGTCAGAACAAAATTATTACCAGAAATAAATACAGTTTGAGAGGAAAAAAGTGCAGGGTTACTGAAAAATATACTTTACAAAATCAGTGTTAACAAGCTGTGAAAACCAGAAATGCATCTAATTCAGCAGCATAAAGGCAGAACAGAGGGGTAAACATACCACAGAGACCAGATTTATTTACAGTAAATGTGAAGGCAGTCACAACATTGCAGAAGTGCTCAACATGCAGACAGCAGCAATACACAGTAAAAACAAGAGATTATGAAAGAATCTTCCCCCATGTGCATTTTGCGAAGAAATACGGATGAAAAATACAGAAACATTTATAACAGCTGGAGGACAAATTTGTAATGATGAAGATAAAGTGACACTGTTTTTTCTGGATCTCATCATATGTGTGAGATGTTTGTTATATGATACTGGGTAAGAATAAACATAAGCATGACAATTCATAAATACCACTTGAGCTGCATGAACCTTGTTACAGCTATGGTATGCTTATGAATAATAACAGTCCTGTGGGTTTAGGATGTATTTTCATTTCATTTTCTTGTCTGAAAGGGGATAATGAGGGTTTCTTGCAGATGCTTACAAAGACATCCTCGCAAGCGTGAGAGCAGAATGGGACCAATCCCAAAGCTGTTTTTTTGTTTAAGGGAAGACAAGGTGGGCAGATGTGGTTTGAGCAGAGTTGAGATTACCTCCTGTTGAGGTTAAGTGAGAGTTAACAAGTAGAAAAGTACATAGGCCAGAAAAAGCCTTGGAATTGGAGACAAATAATTTACATTTGGTGTGCTAGGAGAGGCCAATTTGCAGGCAAAACACAGTGACCCAGTCAGGCAAAAGTGAGAGCCATGTACTCTACATACGGCACACAAACCAGGTTCTGAGGTTTATGAATATACAACTGTTGTAGGAAATTCCTTCCGATTGCTGGAAAGCAGAAGGTAGTGTGGTCTAGGAGAAAGCTAATAACCTTTTGGAAAATACCCTCTATCTGCTGTATATCACATAATCTAATGTTCTGTACATGGAGTTTGAAAGAGCAGAAGAGGATGTTCCATCTGTCATTGTGCAGATATAGATGGTTTAATAATATAACTTAGATAAAATTATTTTGACAAAAGATTAATAATTTCATGTGCTGTAATCATGCAGTAAATTACAGTGGTACCTGACTTCATTTGATTCCCTTACTGTCAAGAAACATGCTACCGTAGAGCTCTGTTAGCATTAAGAAATAACACATCAGCCAGTAGATGGTGATGACTTTCGAACATCAGACTGAATTAACAGCCTAGGAAGGAACACATTCACAATAGGGCTAGAGTAAAAAGATTTGAGTAAGATCTTCAAAGCATATTTCTCCATGAGAACAGGAGAGGAGATCACACACAGACTTTTAAGTGAAAGGCTATTTTGCCATTTGAAATTTAAGTTGGGTGTTTTCACACATTCAAGTTATGAGGGAAGATACAAGTCTACACCGGCCACTTTGAGACACGCTGAAGTATTATATCACCATCTGCAGGGATTTGGATGAGACAGGTAATTGTGGAAGATCTGCTAATGCTGATTAAAAATGAACAGCAGCAACTATTTATGTTCTTCAAATTTCCCTAAGGAAAACTGAACAGCAGAAATGATGGGTCGGACCAGCTAGCTCATGTGCATGGGGAAAAGGGAGATTTATTGGATGCAGACCTTTTATAATGCTTCCCTCCAAAGAAAATCAGAGACATTAATGTATCTGATTGAGCTGACTCCTGATATTCCAGACACAAGAATTCCCTTTAGAGTGGCCACCATGGAATGGTTGAAGTTCTTTATGGCTGATGAACAAGAGAATGAACTAAAAATTAAAGGAAAATAAGTTTTAAAAAAGTTACAGACATTGTACTTTAAATATTTGAGAACCAAGATCAGATATAGACCAAGAGGTGGGTGAAAAGACAATATGACCCCTTTTTTTCCCAGGTGTTTCTTTCCC